CGAGGTAGTCCTGCCTGTACTTCGAGGAGTCCCAGTTTTCGGTCTTGGCGTCGTTGCTGCCGAACTGAACGATCGCGACATCGAACTCGGTCTCCAGGGCAGTTTCCCACTGCGGCACCGTCCAGTAGGAGTGGGCCCGTCCCTGCTGACCAGTGGTACCGGAGACTCCCAAATTAAGCACGTTAAATTGCTCGTGGAGGAGACTATAGAGCTTCGCTGGGTATGAGCCGTTTCCTTTCATATGGTACCCTTCAGTGATAGAATCTCCGATGCAAGCGATTGTTTTCTTCCGGTTCTTGAAGTCAGCCTTGCCCTTGCACCGCAGATGGTGCAGTTCACCGTACTGCTCGAAGATGTCGATATCATTTGGAGACCACGAGCAATCTAAGTATTTGCCAGGGTAGGCGGAACTACTCCCCTCCTCGTATGTGGCGGTATGACCCGCTGGGTCTTCAACGATCTGCAGCGCCAGACAGCAGCTCAGCGTCACAACCGAATACGAGCATCCCGCGAGCAACCGACGCGACCACCCATGCATCCTAGAATGTCGTAAAGGATCAGACAACTGCACACACATAAACTGTCGGAGCTCCACGCAAACTTCTTGAATCGGCGCTGGACCACTCTGGCGGCGCCTCTGGCGCCGCCCCTGGCGCGCTCCGCGCGCCAAGGAGGGGGGCCATGCGCCGATCCTAGACATCCGCGCGGACCTCTGCAAATTGTTGTTCATGTAGTTGCATGTTCCTCGACGTCAAGGTGCCATGCACTGCTGACCCGTGAAGCTGAGCCAACATGGATACGAAGTGCAGGTTGGGATGATGGTGACCATCGCGATGAGGGTAAAACATTGTGATGTTGGCCCCGAATGGGTCAAGTCCGTTGGCGACACACCGAAACGCAAGAGTCATTCGAATCGCAACTCGCCGCCTGTCTGGTTGACCCGCCCGACTGCCAATCACAAAATGTGCGGCGCCCAACTGCCTGCGAACATGACGTATGAACACTAGCATACAACATAGCATACAGCATTGCATCTCTCCTACAGAAAATATGAATAAAATATCATACAACAAAAGACTACGTGTCATTTTGAATTCGCCACAAAGGAAGGGTCAGGGAACATACGCAATGACAAAGAGCAGAGAGCACACGGCCAACCAAAGTAGCGTGAGATGCTTTTGCGGCCTGTGGCACAACATCAAACGTTGCACATGCACCTGCCTTTGCTGAGCAGACACGTTGTATGGCATGCGCGTGTCGTTCAACGCACTGTGCTCATTGAAGAAATATTGAGCTTGCCAAAGGCGGTTCCTTCTCCCAGACTGCATCGCCAGATCCGTGCGCTACGCCATTCTAGATGGAGAACACAAGGTTGTCCAACAAGTGTTTGAGTGTGCGTGTCTGTTTTCGTAATTACTGCTTTGATACCCATGCGCCTCTTCATATAAAATGTCTGTTGGACAATCACATCATCGGAGGCCATTCTGGGGGAACAAGGGGATGCTGATACGGCTACTGGCTGGACCGCTCCCGGGGTGCGTTTTGACACCAGAAGGGCACGGCTCCGGTATCTCCACCTGAGATCCGACGTTGCGAAACAAAAAAAACCCTGCGACGTACCCAGCCCATGTGCATCAAGTGGCAAGAGGAGTAGGCCAACATTAGCTGGAACAACGACAATGTAGACGCGGTGAATTGCTGCGCAAACTACATGGGATGCGCATGCGTTGCACGACTCACAGGACGACGATCGAAAGAACGAGGATTGAGGCCCCAGGCTCAAATAATAACGGGGACAGGAACGAGGGGCATGAGAAGGAAGGAATGGGGGGTAATCAGCATCTGCGTATGACCCCACTCCGCTGGGCCCCCCAGCAGCCCTGGAAAGCGGCGACAGTTTCGCAGATCGCAGCCCCCAAGGGATGGCGAGGTCTAATCTGAATCTGCGTATGACCCCACTCCGCTGGGCCCCCAAGCAGCCCTTGAAAGTGGCAACAGTTTCGCAGATCGCAGCCCCCAAGGGATGGCGAGGTCTACTCTGAATCTGCGTATGACCCCACTCCGCTGGGCCCCCCAGCAGCCCTCGAAAGTAGCGACAGTTTCGCAGATCGCAGCCCCCCAGGGATGGCGAAGTCGAATCTGAATCTGCGTATGACCCCACTCCGCTGGGCCCCCAACAGCCCTCGAAAGTGGTGACAGTCTCGCAGATCGCAGCTCCCCAGGGATGGCGAGGTCTAACCTGAATATGCGTATAACCCCACTCCGCTGGGCCACCCTGCAGCCTTCGAAAGTGGTGAGAGTTTCGCAGATCGCAGCCCCCAAGGGATGGCGCGCCATAGTCTGAGTCTGCGGCGGGTACCCACTATTCTGGCCTTCCCAGCAGCCCTCGAAAGTGGCGAGAGTTTCGCAGATCGCAGCCCCCCAGGGATAGCGCGCTACAGTCTGAGTCTGCGGCAAATGCCCACTATGCTGGTCCTCCCAGCAGCCCTCGAAAGTGGCAACAGTTTCGCAGATCGCAGCCCCCAAGGGATGGCGCGCCATAGTCTGAGTCTGCGGCGGGTACCCACTATGCTGGCCCTCCCAGCAGCCCTCGAACGTGGCAAGAGTTTGGCAGATCGCAGCCCCCAAGGGATGGCGCGCCATAGTCTGAGTCTGCGGCAAGCACCCACTATGCTGGCCCTCCCAGCAGCCCTCGACAGTGGCGACAGTTTCGCAGATCGCACCCCCCCAGGGATGGCGCGCTACAGTCTGAGTCTGCGGCAAGTACCCACTATGCTGGTCCTCCCTGCAGCCCTCGAAAGTGGCAACAGTTTCGCAGATCGCAGCCCCCCAAGAGTGGCCCGCTACAATGTGAGTCTGCGGCAAGCACCCACTATGCTGGCCCTCCCAGCAGCCCTCGAAAGTGGCGAGAGTTTCGCAGATCGCAGCCCCCCAGGGATGGCGCGCTACAATCTGAGTCTGCGGCAAGCACCCGCTATGCTGGCTCTCCCAGCAGCCCTCGAAAGTGGCGAAAGTTTTGCAGATCGCAGCCCCCCAGGTATGCCAGCTTCACATTTCGCAGGCACCACTGGCAAGAGAAGAGGAGACGAGAGCACACAGGAGGCAGGAGGAGAAGGAGGAGAGAAGAGGAGGAGACGCGACCCCACTGCTCTCTTCAAAACAAGAACCCAACCGAGGAGGGTTGGGGAAAAACCATCGTGAAACCACGACCAGGGCCACAACCCCCATATTTCTCTGGCTTTCGAAGCAGATCGATCTGTGCTGGTCCCGGGGTCCGAGTCTGGTCGGAAACGCCCGGTGCGAAAAAGCTGCAACGAGCGGGGTTCGCTATGGGCGGCCCTTGGCCGGGAACTTCGCAACCCCCGACTACACGTCCCGGCTTCTGGCAGAGGGCGTCCAGGCCAGCGGGAGTATGCCACCAGGAACTGCACCCGAAATTGCAACGCCCAGGTCCCAAGTTTGAAGAAGTATCCTGGCGAAGGACCCAACCATATGCAAACGTGAATACCGCAGGGCAGGTGGGACGAAGCAAGAGGAATTCTCTATGGGGCCACGATCCTCGTGAGGGGTGTGACGAAATGGCCCGGGGCCGCCATGCGAACGCTGCCACTGGCGCCTTCGGTGGAGCTCCCTTATGGGGCCACGATCCTCGTGAGGGGGGTGCCGAAATGGCCCGAGGCCGCCATGCGAACGCTGCCACTAGGCCACTGGAGCCTTCGGTGGAGCTCCCTATGGGGCCACGATCCTCGTGAGGGGTGTGCCGAAATGGCCCGGGGCCGCCATGCGAACGCTGCCACTGGCGCCTTCGGTGGAGCTCCCTATGGGGCCACGAAACGCTGCACCGGGTGGGTGAAACGCAGAGAGGAGGGGGGAGGAGGGGGAGGAGGAGAGGAGAGGAGGAGGAGAGGGAACGCGGGGCGACGTCGAGGACCCAACACCACAGGATGAGTTGGGAAAACACACATGTCGGCGCGCGGCGCCGCCCTCGCCGGGCGGCGGGGCGCGCCGGGGCGTCGGCGAGGAGCTCCGGGGGGCCGCCCTGCTCGGAGGCGCCCTGGGAGTCCACCGCGATGGGGCCCTGGAGCTCCGACCACGAGCGCGCCCGCTTCGGCGGCGGCCCCCGGCCGGCGGCGGCGGCGCCCGCGGCGCCCGCGCCTCGATGGGGGGGCGCGGGGCGGCCCCGCGAGGGCCTGCGCACCGTCCTCCTCCACCTCCTCCTCCTCCTCCTCCTCCTCCTCCTCCTCCTCCTCCTCCTCCTCCTCCTCCTCCTCCTCCTCCTCCTCCTCCTCCTCCCCCTCCCCCTCCTCCTCCTCCTCCTCCTCCTCCGCACGAGGGCCCGGCGTCGCACCGTCCTTCGCAGCGGGGCGGCGTCGCACCGTCTCGCGGGCCACTCGGGGCCCTCGCGGAACGGGTGGGGCTCGGGAAGCGCCAGGGGAAGGCGGGGTCCAGGGATCCTGTCGTGTCGCGTGGCGGCAGGTCTGTTCGCAGCGGCGGATCGCATGGATTTGGCTGCGATGCTGCAGTTTCTTTCGCGAAGGGCCGCGGAAGGCGCGAGGAGGGAAGAGCGGCGTAAGGGGCAGGAAATGAGCAATGAACAATGAGCAGGGCGCGGGGAGTTCGAGTGAATTGTTGGGGTCGCGCCAGAAAGCTGGCAACGAACTCCGCGCAACCCGACTTATGAGGGAACGGGCTAAACTTGAATTGTGGGGGAACCCCAACTGGCAATAAGTCGGGCGTGTCCCCCTACAGGGGGATTTTCATCGAACAAATAAAGTACGCAACAAAATGCTCAACAGGTGTCCAACAATACTCAAAAAATGGTCCCCAGGCTATTTTTCGACTATTTTTGAAGATTCCCCCTGCAGAGGATCAGGCCCGACTTAAAACTGGCAACATCAGCGCCGTCCCCGAACGGTGGCGAACCTCCACGGACGCCGCGGCGGCGTGCAACGGGGGGGCCACCCAGGGAACCGACTCGGCCATGGCTGCCGCCCCCTGTCCTCTGCGTGGAGCCCGCGCGGGGGTCACCACCATCGGGATAAGGGGGGGACTCAGGTTCGGAATCTGCATCGAAGCTCGTGGCACGCGAGGGGTCCAGGAGAATGCCTCGGGCCACTGAAAGAAGCCAGTCGCTCACTGCTAGAAAAAGGCCCCTCTACTCAGAGCATGTGTCTCCCTCGTCTCAGAAACAGGCGCCTCCTCCTCCTCCTCCTCCTCCTCCTCCTCCTCCTCCTCCTCCTCATCCTCATCCGCATCCCTCATCCTCATCCTCATCCTCATCCTCACCTCATCCTCATCCTCATCATCCTCATCCTCCTCCTCCTCCTCCTCCTCCTCCTCCTCCTCCTCCTCCTCATCATCATCATCATCATCATCATCATCATCATCATCATCATCATCATCATCATCATCATCATCATCATCATCATCATCATCATCATCATCATCATCATCATCATCATCATCATCATCATCATCGTCGTCATCGTCGTCATCGTCGTCATCGTCGTCATCGTCGTCATCGTCGTCATCGTCGTCATCGTCATCGTCATCGTCATCATCACGTTGTGTCGTCCTCTCCCTCACTTCTCGATCAGTGCCACAAAGCGCGCTGTCTCCCGCTCCAAGGGCCAATTGAGAGCTGGCCACATCAACTGCGTGGCGTGCGACACCAGCTCGTCGTTCAGGAGCTGAATGACGAAGCCACGAGCCGCCTGGCAGGCCTCGTCGTAGCTGAAGGCGAACGCGACAGCCGAACTTCTTCGTCGATGGCTGCTGGGATTCGCTCGAGCCGCGTCCTGCTGCTGTTTCTTGCCTGAATGCTTGCGGTAGCGGGAATGCAGAACGTGTTTGCCGACTACCTGCGGCGTCGCCGATTGGACGTATTTCGTGGTGTTCCTCTGAGCCCTCGGGGAAGTTGTCGGTTTGCTTGATGAGGTTGAAGGGCACTGCCACCCACATCTTCACGCGTGATGGCCCTCGAATGCGGTGGTACACGGCGACGCCGCGTTGCTGCTACTCCTTCAAGTGTTTTGGTTGTTCGTCACACGTGAAACCTGACTCGATAATGACCGACGTGATGTGATCTGAGAGCTCGACATCCTCCCACGTCTGAAACACCGTGCCGGCGAGGTTGGCCAGCCCCCGCGCCGACGCGAGGTACAGCTTGGTTAGAACCACCAGCGAAACCACCTGCAGGTTGCCCTCCTCCTTGCCGCCCTTGCCCTTGCCCCTGCCCGCGTTGTGTTTTTGTTCGCGGCTGGCTCCGACTGCTGGCCTTAAGTCGGGCCTGTCCCCCTACAGGGGGATTTTCGACGAAAAAAATTACCCGCAAAAAGTAAAAAAATAATCCGGAAATAGTCTGGGGATTATTTTTTGAGTATGTTTTACCTTTTGGGGGTATTTTTGGGGTATTTTATTTTTCGTCGAAAATCCCACTGTAAGGGGACAGGCCCGACTTAATGCTGGCCCCCTGCCGCTCCACGCTTCGAACTGCCCTGCTGAATCCCATCCGCCAGGGCTACAGTTCGCCCATCTTCAGGGCGCGAGTCTGGGAGGACGCGCCGCTGCCGAGGAAGAACGGGGCTAGGCTTAAGTCGGGCATGTCCCCGCAACAAAAAAAATACGCAACATACGCCAAAATTGTAAAAAAATCACCCAAAATCGTCCCCAGACTATTTTTTGACTATTTTTGAAGATTCCCCCTGTAGCGGGACAGGCCCGACTTCAGGCTAGGCGAGTGGCTGCGGAGGGCGGGGAGGACGAGAAGAAGGACGCCGGGGGCGGAGGAGGACGACCCAGGCCTCCAGCGATCTGGTGCTGCCAGTCCCGGCGCCTCTCCTGCGCGTCGGCTTCCGGGGCCAACACGAAGAGATGGATCCGATCCCGGCGTTTCTCCTTCGCGTCGGCTTCCCTCCGGGGCCAACACGAAGACACCCAGACCCCCGACGTAATGATTTTTTCATTACGTCGACCCCCAGAGGTCCCGACCCTTTCCCCATGACCGGCTTTGCATCCTGAGTCGTTTTTTGACGCTCCCGAGTCCCGGCGAGGGCCGCCGGAGGCCGAAAATTAGGAAAAACCTCCCGTCATGATTTTTTCATTACTCGAGGGGGTCTGGGCATGGATCCGATCCCGGCGTGTTTATCTTTCGCGTCGGCTTCCGGGGCCCCCGGGTCAGAAACGGATCCAGGCCGCCAAGCCATCACCAGGGCAGGGGTGGGGAGGCGCCGCGGCCGCGGACTGCAAAACGTCCTGGCGGAGGACGTCCGGGGAGGAGGGCGGGGAGGGGAGGACTCCCACGGGCCCGTCGGGGCGTGAGTGGTTCAGAGCGTGCCCTCTTCCAGCCGCCCTCTTCCACTTCGGGGACGGGTTCGCCCCTCTCCCTCCCCCCTCCCCCTGGGTCTGGAGGGGGGGGGGCGCGACCGACTGGAGAGTGCAAGACGGACTCGGCGAGAAGGCAAACGTCACTGATGTCACTAAGGTATGGGACCCATCCTG